GTCCTCTCGAGCGGCGCACTGCTTCGTCTGCCTTCGAGGCCTCAACACTCGAGCTCTCTTTTCCGCACGTTCCTTCTTGGCCAGGGCACCGCCAGGTACCCTCGGGTGTACCCTGCAGCTCATGAGCTCGTGGCCCACGTCCGAGTCTGGTCCGTCGCTCGGCACCGCTCGGCGATCCTAGATTCAGCCAGTCTCTCCCCTGGCATCTGAATCCTCGGCCACCCTGAACCTCGCCCGGCTCCGTGCTCCTCTGTGCGCACTCCCGCGTCTCGCCCGGCAGAACATCTCGCTCGTCCTTTGCCGAAGTGCGACGCTCTCGTGACACCGGCGCTTGATGGCATGGGTGCGGCCACGGAGCAGTCAACCCGCATCGGAGACGCGATGCTCCATGCGGGGCATGGCCAGCCCGTCCAGCGAAGAGCGTGCGCCGAGACGCGATGCTCGACGCATCCGTGACCATTAGCCAGGCCACGTTCATCGCTGTGTCGAACGGCTGACCGTGGAGACGCCTCGCCGAGATCCGCGATGCCCTCGGCAAGGAAGAGAACAGCAGGCCAGGCCGCGCCCCGAGATGCAGTACTCGTGCCGGCAATGCCGCCCCAGCTGGTAGTTGGACGACAGTAGCGTGGACAGCCGCGTTCCCTGGCCGGAACCTGGATCGCCTGCGTCCGCCGCTTCGGCCCGCTGTCTCCCGTCTGCCGCTGCTTCGGCTCGTCCCCAGCCACAAAGCCCACTGCCACGCGATGGTCGCCCGTGGCCCAATCGTGGCACGCCACCTCTATGGGCCACCACTGGTCATCAGCTGATTCGCTGACAGTCACGCGCACATTAAACGCGCCTTGCCCCGCACTTCCGTCGTTGTCGTTTTCTTCACTCATCACACCCGGCTGCGGCGGCTGCATTTCCGATGGAGCCGGAAATGTTGTAAGTCCGTGTGCTCAGGTTCAGGTGCAAGTTAAAAAAAACACCGGGTGATTGAAATTTCCGCAGCCCTCCACTACGGCGGCTCTCATAATCATGTGGTGGTTTTGGGACATGAAACCACACATATCAATCAATCAATCAATACCGAAAGAGCTTCTTTATATTCAATGTATGGGCAGTTACAGTCGAGACGGAAAGTGACAAGGGCAGGGAAAGAGGGGGAGGGGGTTGTTCCGTCGTTCGGTGGGTAGCGTAATGGCCTGACCCGCACGTAAGCGTCGCAGCGTGTCAGCGCGTGCTTATTTGACGCCGGGACGTGCCCTCTTCCTGTGGAGAGAAAGGATGCGCGGCTACGCAAGGCTGCGCTCCCTCTCTCCATAGGGACAGGGTGCGGTGCGGGTTCCGAAAACCACGCGCTGCGACGCGCACGTCTGGTCAGCCCTTAAGGGCCGTTCCACGCGCTTCCCGCGCAGCCGCAACGCATATGCCGGGACCCCTACCGCACGCGAGCGGGGGAGAAATAAGCCAATTGGCGACGCTCTTTCACCCTCCGCAGCATTGCCAATTGGCTTATTTGTCCCCCGCTTGCGTGCGGTAAGGGTCCCGGCATGTGCGTTGCGGCTGTGCGGTAAGCGCGTGGAACAGCAATTGGCTTATTTTTCCCCCGCTTGCCTGCGATAAGGGTCCTGGCATGTGCGTTGCGGCTGTGCGGAAAGCGCGTGGAACGGCCCTAACAGCGCCAGGCAGACCGCATGCGGCCGAAGGAGTTTGCAGACCCCTACCGCATAACACCGCGATGGCTTAGCTGAGCTGCTCAAATGGCGCTTTGCTCTATACCTCGGGGGACGTTTGTTCCCATCACTGTTCAAGGCAAGCCGCCTTACGATGGTGCAACAAATGCAAACACCCTCGCAGGTGTATATTATTTAAGCGCGCGTTTAATGAGTTAGCAGTGGGCTTAGCTCGGCTTTGCCAGGATATACGTAACGAGCTACAGACGGATGGACGGACGGATGGATGGATGGACTATCCAGCGAGCTCACGCGAGTCGCGCGCCAGCTGTGCGCCGTGTGACGTCACTGGTCCTCGGGCATGCGCTGTACGTCTCTCGATAAGCCACGCGACTCCACCAGTACTCCGTCATATGACATGGATGATGCGTCTGGAGGTTCCGAACTTCTTTTCCGCTACCTAAGAAACATCATTCTTCGGATGCACAATGCGTAGCCAGTCGTGAAGTAAGCGCAGTTGTCTGCACGATTCTGAACGCACAGTTTCGCACAGGCTGGCATTGCATCCCCTGGACGGGGCAACACCACTAAAGAGGGAACTCACTTCAGGTGGCGTAAGTCCTTTCTTCACGCAGAAACCGATGTATATATCTTGCACGGCGGGCAGTTGCAAACGATAGAACTGACGATATTGCTTGTGATTGTGTGTTCCTTTACTCTGTGTTTATGATATTTGTGGCCAAAGTATGTCATTAATTTAAGTAAGTACCAGCTAATCCAACAATCAGTCTTGAGCCTCGCGAAACTGCTCAACCTCGCCCAGTGTTGCTTACGCTACAAAAGAAAAGATAAGAAATGCTTAATGTCGATAGAGTTTATTCGAGGTCCCTTCCGCGGCGACACTCTGAATCATTTCGCGCTCCTGGTGTGCGGAAAATCTGAAGAATTTCATTATCGGAATGGCGAGCTGGCCTAGTTGGTAATTAAACATGATCTTGCTGTGGGCAGCGCGACCCGGACGGAGGACTGAAAGGAACGAACGCAGGCAAGCGCTGACTGACAACTGGTTTTATTTCTTCACACATTGGATAGTATAAGTGCTATGGAAATGATCACGTAACGCGTACACCATTCACGACAGGTACACGCAGCTTGATCATTTCTTTGATCATTTCTTTCTTTATTAAAGGGTCTCCTTTTGCTAGTTAGTGCTTGTCCTGTGCTGTGTCTGTTCTTCTATGGCCCGTACCTCATCAACTGCTGTGAATGCACATACAAGCCTCGATTTATGTGATCTGTCATTATCTCCATCTGCGTCTTCGATGTTCAATAAGAAATCTTGAAGTGGAGAACCGAGTCACCGTATACGCAGTGACCGACGTTCTTTGCAGCTGCGTCGATGCGGTACACGGACGAGTCGTTATATCTATATATACACACACACACGCACACTTACACACGCGAGAAAAAGGGGTTGGCGAAGCCTTTTCAATTTCTCCTCGCCGCGCGGTCGTGACGGGCGACACTTTTGACAGGCTTCCAGCGTGTACCGGACGGACGGGCCGTTTCTCGATCGCCGGCGCACTTCTTTTCACCCCTCCACCACCAACCGCGACATCACTTGTAGCGTCGCGTCTGGGGTCCCCACTGTCGAGTCAAGGCTCGGACGAGAAAAAAAAAAACTAGTTACAAGACGAGCTATAGATGTCCAAAGCTCAATAAGATGATTGTCAAGACGAGAGTAAAAATAAATGATACAAAGAGAGAAAGTTATACGGCCAGATCTTTCCGTTTTTGGACACGTGGGCGGTTTGGAGAACGCTGCAGCCTGTTCCCCGTCTGTCTGCAAGGGGGAGTGACGTGACATTTGGAATTTCCTTTCTTCCCGAAGCCTTCTTTTTTTATTCTGTGTTTATGTGAGAGTGGCGTATATGGTATCGACACGTGCTGGCAGTTGGGACACCTCGAAAGGTCTTTACTGGTATTTACTGTATGTGACGCTCTCTCTACACGTAGTGTCCTACACATAAGTTTAATCGTACACCTTAGATGCCAGTGAAGACTCGTGCAATGTACTGTTATTACATGCACACGTGTTAGTAAAGGTCTACAGACTAACTTTCGAAGCTTAGTTTGGTCCGTCATACTTATCTTCTTTATTGAGAGAGAGAGAGAGAGAGGGGGGGGGGGCCTTGAGCAAGTGTGAGGCTCAGAAAATGAAAAGTCAATTTTGAATCGCGTACCTACTGACGTTGACAGTAGCATGACGTCAGGCTGCTGAGTCAAGTCTGCGTACTCACGCATTAGTACTAGTTGTGATGACCATAGAGTTCCTTATCAATACAATAGAGGGAATTCCTCGCTAGTGTTCATGACAGCTGCAACGCACGGCGCTTCAGTCAGCATGGCAATGATGGGTATAGTACACAACTGCGACTTTTTAGTAGAAAAACAATCTGTAGGGACACCTGGTCACAAAGCGGTGGAAGGTCCAGTATCCATATACATGGCAATATCTCCTTCTCTATCATTTTTTTCATCTATACTAGCCCCCCCCCCCCCCCCCCCCCATGATAGCTTTCTTCACATTACCTGGTTTTGCACCGCTTTAAAAACTGGAGGTATTGCACGCACCTATCTGCACCTAGCGTGGTTTTGCGGCACCTCCGAGATGCCCACGTTTGACCAAGTGACTGTTTTATGATAACGCCATTGTGTGACGTCACGATCATGGTGCAAGAATTCTTTTACCGGAAGGGGAAGCACCCACGATAAGACAGTTTTCTTCAGGGTAGGGGAAGTGGGGCAGGCAGGCGGGGAACTTTGGCACTGTGTCATGGCTATGTTCTCACTTGGGGAGACAATGGAGAAGCGCGCAGAAATTGGGGAGAGGCGTGGGGCTCTAGCTTCTCCTCTCAACCCTCTCGTCCCCGCTGGTGCCGCCCCAGGTCACGATGACGCTATAATGACATAACAAATTTTGGCAACCTGTGACGTTAGCTTTGTGATGTCATGATGACGTCTCGTTATAATGTCGTGATGATTTTGTTTCATCGCTTCGTGTTCACGCCGATGCCGCCGACGGAAAATTTTCGTGTTTTGATGGCGCACAGGATGACGCGCTAGTCGTCCTGTTTCTTTTATTTCGTTTTTTTTTCACCTTTCCAAGTCACGATTCGAAACCAACTCGCCCTACTTTCCATTATAAAGACTGTCGGCGTGGACATGTAGTCGTTAAGTGAACGTTGCGTAAGTAGCCGTAAACGCGTTGCTCATTCTGCTGAGCTTGCATGCTTTTCAACCGAATAATTTTTCGAAGCTTTTTCTTCGTCGTTTTGTGCGCAGGTTCTCTCGTGAAACGGAGACCAACCCGAACCACTTCTACTTCGTCGACTTCGAGCGGCACAACAGCGAGATCGCCGCCTTCCACCTGGACAGGTATGATGCTTATTTCACGAGAGTAATCCACCTTACGTGATGGTGGGATCATTGTGTCATTGTCTTGTATTATTGTCTCGTGTAATTGATACTCGCAATTCTTCACTGCGGAAGAACGACTTCTCCTTCCCCTCCCTCAACAACCTGGCTATCCAGAATCGATAGCCACGTTAGACAATAGAAATCACGGCTACACAACGCTTGAAGCAAGGAGTTTTGCGGACGCCGAAGAGGGAGACGCACTCGTCATGTATAGCAGCCGGGACGTGTGAAACGATGTTGACTATGACGTTGACTATGATTGCAAGGCAGAGTGCCCTGTTATAGGACTCTAGCCCCGCGTTATGTCCGTCCCAGCGGAAGGCACTGTTGCGAGGACGTGTTGGCGAGCGTCGGAGTGAAAACGCTGTACCAAACTGGTCCATTGCCCGCCGTGTCTGACCACGCAGCCTTGGCAAATTCTAACAAGGGCATTTATTGACTTCCTGGAGAGAGAGAGAGAGAGAGAGAGAGAAAGAAATAATTAAAAGGAAGAGACAGGGATGTTAACCTAGACGAACTGGTTTGCTACCCTGTACGGTGGTGGGGAAAAGGGTCGGAAAGAGAATAGCTATAGAGAGATATAAAATAAATTAAAAAGAAAACACATGCACATGACTTCCTGGAAAGTACTGCACTGGATACACTGTGTTACCTGCTCGTACTCGACGTACAGATCTCCTATCCTGGTCCCCATCATTGTCATGTTAATCTTCTTGAACCGTTCCTCCTGGCCTCAGTGATGGAACGATTGCTGATGCATTGCAAGAGTTTCTGGGAGAATCAAAAAGGTACAGGCTATAAAGTCTACCATTTCAAATTGTTTTATTTTTGCAAATTCTTGTATTCATTGCTCAAAATTCGTTCAATATTATTTTCATCTTAATTATTATTTATTTATATTTCTGTCTTAATCGATGTTTAAACATTATTTTCATAATTTTCTTTAAAAACTAACCGGCTCTTGGGCCAATCCTTGGCGTGGACATGAGCCACAGCCTCTACTCTACTTTACTCTGCTCTCGTCTATCTCCTGTTTACCTTTGGAAGAATATACCAGGCCAGAGCTAGCTCAGGCCGACGTCTCCGCCTCCTTACAGTTTCAATCGCCCTCGCTCTCTCGCAGACTCCTAGGATTCCGGCGGGCACCTCCCGTGGTCGGCCGGGTGCTGAACATGACGACAGAGATATACGCCATCACGGACGAGGACATCCTCAAGACGTTCTTCGTGTCCCCTGGTACGTGTACGAGACGCCGTTTATAGTTTCGAGGGAACAGTTTGATGTATACTGCTGGTTGGTTTAACCGTTAATAGCTTGAAGATGGGTTTGATATAGGCTAGATTGTTCGACATTCTTAAAAAAAAAGGCTGTGCAAAAACAGGATAACCAGAAAGGAACACAACAAACGCCGCTTCCCTGTTTCGTTTCCTGCTCGTTCTCGCGTTTTGGCGTGCCCTTTTCTTTAAGTGTGTACATTGTGCTCTGCGTCATCCAATAGAAGTGGTTTTTAAGTATAATGTTGTGACGATTACCGAAGGCGGCAAAGTACTCATCGAAATTCCAGTGGTATCCATACCGAACATAACCGTTTTCCGTCATACTCTTCAATTCACAATCTTGTCAGTTCTGACTGGTCTGTTGGCTATAAAATGCCGATATTGCAGAATCCGAGAGTTGTTTATGCACCGATTTCCGCAATGTTACGTGCCACCTGCCTCCTCGAACACTTATGAAACTTCAATAAAAAGAAACCCTTCCGAATGCATCATGAATAAATGTCGAACACGACGGAACAATACATTTTGGTGTCCAAACAAGCTGGCGGCTTGAGGCTTGGAAACTCGTCACGAAGGGTCGTCTACTGGCAGAAAGGCGTACAATTAAGGATCTTTGTTTCCCCCAATCGAGTTACGCCGAGTTTCTTTTCGTTTTGTTTTTTTATTGTGTACCGAATCGAAAAAAAAAAGGTCAGAAGGAAAAACTAAATTATGATTCTCTTAATGCTCTCTTGTGGACGAGAGCTGGCGAAAAGTCACGCCAACATTTTCTCAGCACGTTCCTTTACTGAGGCTTAGCTCTCCTCTTCAACTACTATAACACAGGCTTGTCTAAGCGGATACTGAAAAAAATTTAAGCCGCCGATATTTTAGTAAATATAAAGAATTCGGTGCTTTATGCACTGATTGCCGCGTCTAGCGGCCTTGCCGGGAATCGATGGAGGTGACGTGTGCGTAGATCCACAGCTCCGTACGCCGCGCGCTTGCAATGCTTGAGATATACAGCCAACTGTTCAAAAACACGTCAAGAACACTCTGTTTCTCGGAACAGTCGCGTCTTCTAAATGGGATCTCTCTGATTTCGGCAATGAAATCTCTATGACTTATTGCGCGATTTCTTCGCAGATTTCGACATCACTCTATGTTTGAAGTAAGTACGTCGAACGTTTAATTATTATTGCGCGTAGTGTTTGTGTTAGCAGCAAAAAAAAACATATGGTTGCAACAGAAACCACGTAGCATGACTCTCTATGCACAGATGAATCGCTTGCGAGCCGCAGTTTTGGGGTGGCCCTTGTACTTTTATTGCGATAGCAATTATATGCACAGTCTCGGCAGGATTTTACCATTGCCAAAGCTGCTGTGATCTACCGTGTATATATATATATATATATATATATATATATATATATATATATATATATATATATATATATATCTATATATATATATATATATATATATATATATATATATATATATATATACAGCTCGTCGCAATGTGCGGCAACGCGCGCGTTTATCTCCCACGCGTTTTTCGCCCCACGCATGGGGGCGGGAGGGTTAGGTGCTTGTGCGCTCGCGCTTATCTTTCGCCGGGAAGAGTCGAGGGCCATGACCTCTCACCGGAATGATTGCTTTAGTTGCCCGGGAGACAAAGGTCAACTTCGCTCGCTGGGCAGGCCCCGTTTGCGAAAAGAGCGCGCTTTTCAAACACAGGAAAGTAGCAACTGGGTCCCTCGTTAGATCTCACTCATATGTGTACCTGTGATTACGTTTAGTGCGTCGTTTTTGTTTAAACAGTGCGTTAAGCGTCTAGTTATAAACGTTGTTAGTTAGCTCTCGTCCTGCGTCTGTTGTCTTCGTGCGTCATTTGTGCGTGAGCAGCGCGCTGCGCGTTTCGATCTGCTAGTCGTTCTGAGCGTTACATTCCAAGTTATTGCTATCGCATTCATTGATTCGCCCTTGCCGCAAAATGGGATTTTTATTTGTATTTTGATAGTTATGTTTAGGTTGGTAATCGACTATAACGAATAACAAAAAGTTATCAAGAGGCTGTTAACTACAACTAACCAAATAAAAACCGCAACACCGTAAAAGCACTGACATTATAACCACCCATCAGTCAGAGCATACGACGGAACAAAAGGTTAGCGACAAGAAAGTAACAGGCTGTCAACAACCAGTAATAATACAATGCTACGATTCACGATCCGATGCCCATTGGTTCGCCCCATCATCACCATTCACTTCGTGGGTCGACCAGAGCATTTTTTTTTTCCTTTTACAGCGAACAACCTGTGTTTCCACGGCAAGTGCAGCTACTACTGCGACACGTCGCACGCCATCTGCGGAAACCCGGACATGCTGGAAGGCAGCTTTGCCGTGTTCCTTCCCTCCAAGGACCTCGCGCCTCGGAAATCCTGGAGGCACCCCTGGCGAAGGTGTGTACACTGTCTCCCTGTCCGTACGGCTTACCTCGTCGCGGTGGTTTTGGTGGTTGTGTTGTTCGGCTGCTTACCTGGAAGTCGCGGGCCCGAATGCAGTCCGCGGCTCCCGCATTTCGTTGAAGTCGAAAAATTCCTGAGGCCCGTGTTCTTAAAGAGGCACATTTAGGTGCGCATTAAAGATCCCCAGGTAGTTTATAGTGATCCCCAGGCGGGAGAAAACTCTGACTGTGCCGTGCCTCGTAATCAGCGTGGTTTGCAGTAGGTAAAAAATCGTGGAAATATTATGTTACAGGCAACAGTCTTAGTCTTGCTTGCGAAACTTGATCGCAGAAATTTCGGTCTCTTTGTCTTTCTTTTAGGCGCTTTCTCAGCGCCCAGCCATTTCGAACTGGTGGCTGCGTTCAAGCTTTTGAACGTTGTCGATCAAAAAGCAGATATTACGCATATCTGAGGCACTGACTACCTCAGTACGTCAGTATTGGGCGCTATGTTCCTTTACCAGTAAATACTTAGATACGTGATTCTAAAGACACTAGTGTTTCTTAGGCTGCACTGCGAATGCGCTGTGCAAAAAAAAATATCGCAGCATATCTACGAAGTGAATGATTTTGTGTGGTGCAAAGCGTTTGTCAGTCTGCCCCTGCTTCCATCCGTCCGTTCGTTCTCGCTTCCGTCCGTCCATATGCGCGTCCGTCCGTGCGTCTGTCTGTCCGCTGTCCGCGCGTTTGTCTGTGTGTCCGTCCGTTCGTGCGTCTGTCCCGTCGTCTGTTCGTCTGTCTGCCTTCTGTCCGTCCATCTAGTGAACACTTCAAGTACCTCCATCTTGGATCTTTTTATCATATATTCATCTTATACAAGTGCCGCTATCCAGCGGACATTCTAAGAACTAAACAAGAGGTGGCTGCTACTACTACTATGGCGACGACAGGGGACATAAGACCCGCGGCGAAAGGAGCTTCGCCCCTAAAAAAAAAAGGGCCGGTGGAAGACTATCGTCTTTTGACGACATTTTCAGTGAAGCGCGCAGACACGCGGCCAATTTTCCTTTATCCAAGTGAACTGTGTCCTTCCTTGCAGGTCGTACCACAAGCGGCGGAAAGCCAAGTGGGAGCTGGACGACGACTATTGCGTCCAAGTGCGTAGCACGCCCCCTTACGACCGGGGGCGGCGGCTGCCAGACCTCATGGATATGGCAGTCTTCGATTTCCTCATAGGTGCGTTGCCGTGTTTAAAGGAAATCGAGATGACACACATTCATTGTGCGTAGTCGCAATGATAAAGGAAACACTCCCAGGGAAATATTAAGTTGATCGAAATTAAAATGTCAAGATTGCGAAATTGTGATGAGACCTTACCATTGTAAACAAGAAAACGACAAAATTCATAGAGTGGCGCTTTCTTTGAGCACCCTGTTTTAATGGTGCCGCGTCCTGTATATCTTATAGTCAGTAAGTTACAGATCAAGAGGAAATTTTCATAAATATTGACAGTAAACTTGCAGTAAGCGAAGTCTTATTGAGTATTACGGCCGCAGAGCTGTCTTCTGCCTACTTATTCACAGAAATTGGTAGCTCAGCGAGTGATGTCCTCTATTGGGCGCGGATAATATAAATTGATCAGCCAGGGACTCTCTGTGGCCGTCCAAAAAAAAATAAACAAATAGATCCTTATTTACATGCTTCCCTCAAACAGTGACACCATCAACGTTTTGGTAAATAGAGCACTGCAAACATAACGAACTGGAATCACTGGGTGCACGGGCAATATGTATACTTCCTCACGTGTTACAGTATTGGAGCTGCCTTCTCTTTTATTGTTATAGCAGTTATATGGACACTCTCAAAAAGATTTCGCTGCCGTCGTCGGCATTGGTGACTGCTGTGATTTACCGTAAATATATATACATGTGTGTGTGTGTGTGTGTGTGTGTGTGTGTGTGTGTGTGTGTGTGTGTGTGTGTGTGTGTGTGTGTGTGTGTGTGTGTGTGTGTGTGTGTGTGTGTGTGTGTGTGTGTGTGTGTGTGTGTGTGTGTGTGTGTGTGTGTGTGTGTGTGTGAAAAAGCAAGAAAGAAAAATTATCCAGAAAAAGACTCCGGCGCGCACTATCGAACGTCCGACCTGCTTGTGAGTGTGCGGCGTTAGCCACTGAGCCACGAAAGAGCACCTTCTTCAACGTTGAAACGGCAAGCTATTTATAAGCACCATTTACCACTGGCAACGCGGAGCTTGGGGGAACTATTGTGGTTTCAGCATTATCAGCGAGATAGTGCAAGCAGTGCGCCTTGCCAGATTGTCATGATGCTGCGAAGCGCGCTGATTCGCTAATCTCCCACGTGAGCTTTGCCCCGTGGAGCGGGGGGGCGGGGGGGGGGGGGGGTAGATGTAAACGCCCACACGTGGGCGTGCTTATCTCGACCGACTCGTGGAGGGGAGAATCTTACGCCTTGGCCTTTCACCGAAACGATTCTGTTGTAGTTACCGGGTGCACTTGGATCACTGCACAGTCTCGGTTTGCGAAAAGGGCTCGCTTTTAAGACACAGTGAAGTAACAACTGAGACACTTCTTTGCCTTCTTCTGTACCTGTGAGTACGTTTCGTGCGTTATTTGTGCGTGAGCAACGCGGGGCATGTTTGTATCTGCTTGCCATTCTTCGCGTGACATTCCAATTTGTTGCTATCGCATTCGCTGCTGCGCCTTTGCGGAAAAGCTGTGACTTTCTTCGTTCACTTCCGGTTTCATGCAGCTCACGCTTTTCTAGACGGAATTTGTTTTATTCTAGACGGAATTTGAATATTTAATATTTCAATCAATAAGTTAACAGAAGATTCACGCAGTGCGCAATACAGGTGCATAGACATGTGCACATGTGTTCGGGAGCAGGTCTCATATATTTTCGCCTGTGCTCCAATATCGCAGGCAACATGGACCGTCATCACTACGAGACGTTTCTCTCATTCGGCAACAACTCCTCGCCACTGCACCTCGATCACGGACGAGGGTGAGTCACCATGTTTGTGTTTTTTTTTTCATCTTCCTATTTCTATCGCTCGTCCGCCCGACATCCTTTTCGTCGAAGTATACTGATGGTTAGCGAGTAATAGCCGTATCACACGGTGCACTGCTAATCACGATTAAGCCGGATTGAGTTCCAATTTTTTAGGGGCGAAGCTCCTTAGGGCGTGGGCTGTGCGTCCCCTGTAGCCTGTATGTAGCCACCTCTAGTTTAGTTCTTGCAGTGTTCACTAGATGGCGGTACCGTCTCCTGTATGTAGCCACCTCTCGTTTAGTTCTTGTAGTGTTTACTAGATGGTGGTACTTGTAGCTGATGATGAAAAGATGCAAGATGTTATAAACTAGAAAGCGGTACTTGTAGTTGATGAAAGACGCGAGATCTTATAAAATAGGAATGATGTCACATATGGCGCGTGTCATTGGTTGAAGGCAATAGTTCAATTTAGTGCGGCGACGCTAGGGGAGCGATGTAATAAAATCGAGTGGGCAAAATGTACAGAGGATTCATGGTTTACCAGGTTTACCTCCGGAGCTTCGCCCACTCATCATCATTCACTTCGTGGATATGGCGGAAGTTTTTTATTCCAATTCGCTTATACAATTGAGGCTTGCCTGAAGGTACTAGTCAAGATCCAGAAGCTCCATTCAGGTCAGGCCCGATCGCTATAAAAAAGTTACCATGTCACTCCGCTATATAAGTAGCACAGTTTTGCGAGACCCGCGTTGACACTGCCACTCCTACCTGTCACGTCACAATGCCCTCCGCTGCTTTTCGTTTCCAACTCTCGATCAGGCGCTCGCACCACCGCTTAAGACATAGATCCTCGCATGCCGTAGTCTAATTTTTATATTATGTTTGCTTCAATTTCATTTATTATTACACGAGATTTTATATAAACGCGAGTTCTAATACAACGAGATTTATATAAACGAGATTAATGTGCGACCTTTATGGTGTAACCAAATAGAAAACATGAGGGTTCGACTAGGGCTGACTTCACCTAGAACTAACTGTTATAAAGCCTAAAGGAGTACTTGCACGTTTTTGTGGCATCTCAAAAGGGACATCTTTCATTTTCATAATGTAGATATCAATGTTTGCCACACACAGAAGTCAGACAACACAAAAAAAATACGTTGCCTTAATTTTAATGTTCGTTCCCCAGCACTGTCCAAGCCAGCCCCATCGCGTTGAACATCAGCACGACAAGTCAACACAGTTCATGCATTAGGTTGGAGTAATTTTGGTTCTGCGTGCAGCCTAAATCGCAGAAATCGGTGTCAGAGTCGCCGGACTGTAAATAACTTATTGTTGTTTAGTTAACCACGTGCGACTGACAGGAAACCGGCTGTTGCTGCTAGTATGTCATGTCACGAGTAGCAGTCGTCTCGTGAAGTCAGACTCCTCTTGACACAGCTTATATCGCAGAAATCGCTGTCAGAGTCGCCGGACTGTAAATAACTCATATTTGTTTAGTTAACCACGTGCGACTGACAGGAAACCGGCTGTTGCTGCTAGTATGTCATGTCACGAGTAGCAGTCGTCTCGTGAAGTCAGACTCCTCTTGACACATCACTGCGAAGACATCCTCTCGACACTGAAACCGAAATTGCGAATTCCCCACTACAGTTGTCCTAACCTAGTGGGTATTAAAAATATATTCAGTGACTTCCCAAGCACCAAGGTGCACAATTTTTAGGGTTCTCGACACTGGTGTTTTTATTTAAAGCAACAACCTGAAAATATTTGAAATTCCTTTCAGCACTCCTGTAATAATTGTAGCTTACCTGCTACCACTCAATTCATGGTCCATCACCATGAGTTGGTACTAGACGTAAAGAATGACGTCCATCCTTACAAGTCATCATCATCATCGTCTTTCACTCTAGTTACAGCTCTCAAATAACGTCTGAATACCTTCTCTACACACAGTGAGTTCATTTTTTTTTCATTTATTCTCTGTTGTTCATTCTTTGGCCTATTTCTCTGCGCATGCGCAGCTTTGGCAAGCCCAACCACGACGAGCTGAGTATCCTGGCTCCGCTGTACCAGTGTTGCCTGCTTCGGCGCTCCACACTACGGCGGCTTCTGTCGTTCCACAACGGACCGGAACCGCTGAGCGCCGCCATGCGTCGCTCCCTGCGCCGGGACCCTGTGAACCCCGTGCTGACAGAGTCTCACCTTCGCGCCCTCGACCGGCGCGTCCAGCTGGTGCTCGAGGTGGTGCGCGAGTGCGTGGCCGACCGGTCGGCCGCCGAGGTGGTCATCGTGGACGACGCCTGAAAAGCGCTCCCTCCATCCACCTTAGCTTGTACGCCGGTACGTTTGTGTTGGCTTAGTGACTCGTTTGAAGCGGCCCCGGAGCGTTCAAAGTGCTGTGGTTGTGGAGGCCGCGGGATCTATGAAGTAAGGAAAACTTGCGAGGGGCACTACGCCATTATACCGTGTGGTGAAGTAGCACACGCGGACAAAGGTGGCAATATGGACACGACACTCAAGTTCTGATACTGATCATACTGACACTGTGTTCTGACACTGATCATACTGCACGAATTCTAAAATTTTTTGCGGCGCTGAATCTATCAGGCAATAAGCTCCTTCAGTGAATTCATTCCATGGCTACATTAAAAAGTGTTACAGGGCCCCTTTAGACAAATGCATTAATGAACTTGTGATGTTTAATTGCAGCTTGCTTGTTCGGCACAATGCTGTCGCCTGTTAAAAAAAAACAGAAAATAACCGGGGGAGGGGGCACATAAACCTACCCCGCGTTCATCACGTGTTGGGCCGACTCAGAATGTTCCACTCACATTGCACAATTCTTCCTCCTAACTTTCTTCCTTTCCTTATTTCAATCTTCGCACAGATAAAAGCAGTGCTGTCACGAGACACCTGACGTGTGTACCCTTGTGTCTTGTCCTACTTGCCCGCAGGTTCTCAAACTTCCAGTACATATCAGGTCTCTGCTATCCACGGTCAGGATATCAGAGGGACACCGGCCGTGCCGACCAGGATTCATCTGCTTCCTCTGGCGCACTCCCGTCAAGAACCCGGTGTGACGTCGGCGTCTTCTAAAGACACGTGACCACTGCTCCGCTCTCGCTGGTCGAAAGCGGTGCACACGCACAAAGCACCTCGAAGTGGTTGGGGGTTTGGGCATGCGCAATGAACAGATTTATTTTCTTGTTATTTCGACGATGTGACAACAACCGGAGTGGCTGGACAATATGGCGCTTGCTTGGAACCGTGGGACGCTTACGCTTCAGGGATTCTTTCTGACGTGTTCGTTTTTTGAAAAATCCGGGTGCACAGCGAGCTTACGACTATGCACAGCGAGCTTACAACGGTGCACAGCAAGTTTACGAAAGCTGGTGGACGTTTTATGCATAGGCTGTGGTGTACGTTTTGACGACCACACCGATGTCGAAGATGTGACTCGCAGGCCCTTTTTTGGATCCCTTTTCGCTGCCCGGGACTGTGTAGTGTGCTCTACGTGAGACATATGTTTCCTCTCGGTAATAACGTGCAGTGGCGGGGAGGCTGCACCTGCTTGAAGACCTCGAAGGGGGTGGGCTATAAACAGCTGACTCCAGCAGCTGTGTTACTGTGGTCTGTTATATACCTTAGACGTGTTCATTTTTTTCAGGTATGTGCTAAACAGTGGGCAGCTTGTTGCAGACTTTATGTATATTTCAAAACCACGCCCATCCTTCGCAGATCGTTGAAATTATAGGTGTCTCGTTTCTGTGTGAGGACGCCTAAGCCAACACTCGCTGTAACAAAAACTCGTTCGAGCTTCAAACTCGCTATAGATGACGCTAGTTGTTACGAGGTCGCCTTTCCTTGTTCGGCATTTCTAGGCTCAGCTTTACGCCATCCTGTGGTTCTGTTATAATAATAATGAAGCACCATTGTCAGAAACGCGGTTGTTTCGGGCAATAATAATTAGTAAAGCGTACCACTTCCGTGCCCTATCGAAGCATCCGTCATCTGCAGCTTTACCCGCCTGGTAACTGCCGTTAACAATCATCCCTTGTTAAGTTTAGAATTAGTTAAAGCCATCACTCATTTTTGTTCCGATCGCTGCTATACGTAAAGCTTTCTGTTTGTCTTTAATTACTTATATACATCATTTAAAGTTTCCCCTCTCTTTACTGTTGTGTACACACCGCCTGCGATGAAGCCTTCAGCCGTCCATTTCGTTATGATAAGTGTTCGTGCACGTCTCCTACTTTGCGAAATTCATTCTAACGCGAATCACTTCACTCCGAAATGCCGTCATGCTCGGCTCCTGTACCACAATCGTAATATATTGTCAGTGCATTTGCAGCGCCGGCGCTTCTGCCGATGATGGCCTCGCATCGTCATCATGCGTGTTCACCATCCTCCTTCCTCTAAAATATTGTTTTCAAGCTGTCATCTAGGCTTGCTGTTCTAGAATATGTTCGTAAAGATACCTTCGCTTTTAACGATACACCGCTTAGAACGCGAAATTTGGCCGCGACGCGTTGACTTCGTTTTACCAAGAACCTACTAGCGAATTTCGTGCAAAAGGTTTCTCAAGAAGGTGTTTCCGGGAAAAGTTCAAAGAGTTTGGCCAGACCTGGAGCATCTATTGGCATTGGTGCGGTAACCACGATAACCAAACGTGCACCGCAGATAGCGTCGGCGCTGGTTATGATTCCTCGTGAAAGTGTAGTGTATGCATTCGTATAGTAGCATGCGTACGAGTTACCTTATCTGCTGTGTTAGGCTTTTGGCAGTAGTGTCCGTTTCTGGTCCTTTGTACTACAGCCCCGTTTCAAGCTGACAAAAAAAAAGCCTTAGAGCACGCAGCGTCACGAGGTCCCTGCCACCAGGTGTGCTTCTGTTCCTGCCCCTGCATCACGCGATAGTGCTCAACGCGTAGATGGCGCTTGCTCTAAGGCAGTTGCCAAGAGGGATCATGTGTTTCAAAAGTCGCAGTGCGCCTTTTTCAAAGAGAGAGCTACGTTATTTAACTGTACTTTGTTTTCAACTGTAGTCTTCTTGGCCTATGATATGGTGTGCCGACGTCATTTCCGCCCTTCGCCAAACATCCAGCGTGTCGCCTCGAGCTTTAAGTGCTAATGTTGTATAACTTGTGACGCGTCTTCCTTTTCTTTTCGGCAACGGAATTACAGATAGTGAACTTGCCGAGCTGACCGCGTGTTACGGCCCACAGTTGGGTCTATTGTGCCGGCTCATAGCGTCCTTAGGTTGGGCAGCACATTTTTCCGGTGCGCAGATAGTGGTACAATCTCGGTCACATTTAAGTGGTGCGTCTGTCGCGCACTTCTTGTTCTGGTTTAAGGTAACCTAGGGATAACGTCATCTACTAGGGCACAATTTTCAGTTTTCATATAATTCGTTGGCAGTTCTGTCAGGGCCGTAACAACGCGCCGAGCTATAAACTGATCGAATGCACGCAATGTTAAACTTCAAACTTGGGCGCAAGTTTTAGTCGTTGGAGAAGTTGCGCCATCTTCAAGGATTCGTTGAAACACTGCTTATGTCATTGCAGTTGTTTTAGTAGCCTGTGTCTTAGACAGATGACATCTATGTTTTACCTGCTGGCTGCTAACTAAGCCTAACGTGGAGATAAAGCTTTTGTGCGCGTTACATGGTTACATGACGTGCATAAAAGCTTTGCATAGTTACATGGCGTGATGTTACGTGACGTCACGTCACGTGATGCATGTGGCACGCTTTCACATATCATCATCGCGAGCATAGGCTCGTGCATGGCTAACAAAGTTACATTTCCGCTCAATTTAAGGGGTTTTGGGGTAATTTTAGGACACATAAGCTTTCCTTCATATAACTTTTTTTATATGTGGACGATGTGTCTTTGAACTAAGGTTTTCGGCAGCTTTAAAGTGTACAGACATTGCGCAGCCTGGGTTATTCGAGTTAATTTTAGTTCACGCGTAGGTTGTCTCAGATCTGCGTTGATACACATCGTGTTTTCGGTCAACCTAGCGATGACGATGCGCCTACATGATTCACGTCGTATAGTAGGTATTTTATTTCTTCATATTTCGCTGCACAAGTTTCTACAGTGAATCAGCACAATTTTCTTTTTTGCATTGTGTCTAAGATTGCCCGTTCACACTAAGGCCGACGTGGCATCGCTCCCTTGACCTTTCTTTTTCTGTACGTGTGTGATAAAGCTTTCTAGTCTATAGTATAGGTCTTTCTTTTTTTTTTTACTTGTCAGCAAGCGCCATCATGCCGCATGTGTGTGCGGGAGAGTAGCTTACAGACCGTGATGAAGGTGATTTCCCCATACGCTGTATTTGACCAAAACATCATTGTCAAAAATCATGCGTTTTGTTGCGACATTAGCAGTAGCCTCACGCTATATTTGCTCGTTTGAAAACTATCAGACGCGTTTGTATAAACTCGTTTAAATGTTATCTTAAAATAGACTGCGTTTGCCTTGTACGCAATCACGTGAAGATTTCCAGTGCAGCTTTCAACGCGGGCTCGCCCGTAACGTCCGTTTGTGACGTCAGATCTTGCTGCGACGTCGTTTATAGAAACGCCGACTCTTCGTAGCCGTGCTTCGAAAGAAAAGTCGCGAACAGTGTTGCCAGTGCCCCTCGCTCGGACGAGTCTGTTGGCCCGCGCATACACGTGTCAATTCGTTCACTATGCGCAGGTTTTGAGTTGTCTAGGTGGCGCTGGTAGCACAGCAAGATTGTGGGGATCACGTGACAAACCTACGGCGTTATCTTTAGAGGGTTGTTCATTTCGGGTCTCTCTTTGTATGCTCGCGTCACGTTGATTGCTAGCATTTCGAATAAGAATAGGTCTCTACGCTTGCTATAGCCAAACAGTGAATCAAATGGGGAGGTGTACAGTGTGTTTAATGTGAACGTTTGTATTGTTTAGTGTGCACGAACGCGCTAGGCTGTGTGCGCACGTGCGAGTTAGGTTTATTTTTTCATGCGCGCGTGTACAGAGCTGTGGTGAAGTTTTTTTTACGGCGCTCGCATTTAGTTATCGCGTTTTGTCACGAGGAGCGCGCGAATTTGAAATTGTCGATTTTTCTTACATGCGTTGGCGTGAACGTGATGCTGATGGCTTTTGTTCTCAACGCTTTGGCGATAACAGCGGACGTCCGTCGTTGTCAGATAAGCTATGCCTGTTTTATGCGTTTTATAAATGTCTAGTTGTTTCTCTCTCACCTCATCCTTTTATCTCCGCGTCGGGGTCACTATCCTACCTGTGTGATGAAAAAAAAGTGTCACGATTTTGTACGCGTGTATTTGTACAGGCTTTCGCTTTGAACTGCTTGGTTGTGTGTACAGAAAGCATTAACGGTTATCTTGCGCGTTTTGGGGGGCGTACACTGATCAGCCTTCGTATCCCTTTCACGAGAAGGCAGGCCAGTCTGTAGAAAGAACACTTGTGCCGTCTGAGCGTTTTGTGTGACGTGTGTGTGTGTATCCTCCCATACAAACCTTGTTCAAAGCCGCGAACGGGCGCGCCTTACTCGTGTGCAGCCGAATGTGTTCTCTCGAAGGCCTTCTCGCGCGATCCCGGTGACAATCGAGTGTGTCGTTTTTGGCTGCTGTTGTCTGGCAACCGCATGTAGTATAATTACAATGTCCAGCGCTGTTTTGCAACGGAGCGTCGTAGCACACCACGAATTCCGTCTCCGGATGCTCGCCCGTGGTATGCAGGCCTTGCAGGTTATTCCACAGCATGTGCTGAACGCTAACAGCGCCGACCTGCGCAAGACGATCTGGTTCCAAACCGGGTTTTGTCGTATGCTGCATCCTCCATACAACAGCTAAGATTATGCCGTACTTCTGCCTTCTCGTATACAGCTTCGAAAATCGTGGGATCGAACACCCGCTGCATTTCTGTGAAGTCCGATTGCTGGAGGCCCGTATGCTTAGATTTATGTGAAGGTCAAAGCACGCCAGATGGCCGAAATTTCCGCAGCCCGCCACCACGGGGTCTACCATTGTCGTGTCATCGTAAAACTTGAGTAGTTATTATTATATTTTCCTATACCGCCGTTTATGGCTTTTTTGAAAGATGAGGTTGATCGGTTAAGCGCAAGAACTGCTACGTCAAGTAACCCTTCAAAATACCATTGGGTACCCA